GAAAAATCACCCACTACATCACTCAAATACCCGTAGACACATTTCGCTTCCCTGCGAGACTCCTGCTGAAGAGATTTGGTGGCAGCACAACTCTGCCCATTTGTCTTTATGAAGGCAAAGTCTGTGCCACAGACGGCGGTAGGGGACGCAACCCTGACAGAAGCCCTGCATTTGCAGTTCTCCAAACCAATGCTGCACTCACACACAGAGGAATATTCCCCACAATGGCTCCAGAGTCAACCTCTGCTGACAACTGAACGTGCAGCTTCTAGTCCCGTCTCACACACAGCCTCCCCTCAACGCTGCACGCTAGAAGACTAGAGATGGGAACGTGATGAACACAGCTCTCTCTCGGGCCTGGACAACTCCTCCGTCCGTGCCCTGTTCTGTGCAGAGATGTGTTCAGGATAGACCAAACCCTAGGACAATCAGTGCAGTGGTCCCAGGGAAGGACTGTTTTGGGGGAAGAGAAATCTTGGAGTGCAGGCGCAGGTTTGGTGGTATATGCCTCACCCTAGAACAGCATGCCACAGTAAATGATGGTGCAGTATTCAGGATGTCGGGGCTTGGATACACAAACCAGAAGTACAAATTGAGAGGTAGAAGGACTTCTGAAAAGCTAAGCAGGGATGAGAGTGGAAATCTCTCAGTAGAGGAAGAGAGACTAGAACCACCTTTTTTTAACCCAGACTGTGCTTCCCAGCATGCATAAGAGAGGGGGGGGACAGCGACTCCAGCTCTCTAAAAGACCAAAGGCTTTCCCCTTTCAAAAGAGATGGGAATGATTTTGGGAGGCAGGAAAGTGCTGGCACAGGCAGCTTCCCAGCGTGGCAGCCTGAGCTACTGCCTCGGCAGCAGGCAGATGTGGTGCCCGAAGCCCCTGTGCTCAAGATGAGGCAGCAGTTCACTTAATGAAGACCCGGTCTCTTTTGGGGGGTGAATTGGCTGCTGCCAACCTGAGATTTTTCTGAGATATATTGCTGTTGTTTGAAAAGATTCATGCAGGCATTCCTGCAAGGGAGTATGGGTGCACGCCTCGTTCACCAGCCAATCATCACCTGTCGGCAGTGTCCAGAATTTGGGTTGCATCGGGTACTTTTGACATAACCTTCAGGCTGTGGGCATTGTCTGTTCCCTTCCTGGAGAAGTAGTGTGTGTCTGCACTCGCGATTTAATATGCATTAGCACGTTTTAGTGAACATTAAAGCATCGCAGAAAAAGTGCATTTTTGCTTATGGGCAATAAAATAGGCAAATGCGCCTTTTCCTGGTACCTCACAGTGAAGGTACTAAATGTAGTCAGCATTACCTAAAGCGCATTAATGAACATGTAGGTGCACCCACATACTGCTAACACCCGGGCTGTGGGCACAGACGCTCGTGATCCTCTATTCAGAGTTTTCTTGCTACCCAAAGGCACGAATACTTACTTAGAAACCACCTAGCTTTTTTGCTGTCTGCCCACTTGAAAATTGTTCAACGTTTCTGCCAGGAGATTCCTCCATTTACATGTTTGAGGAAAGCCCCGAGGGGCTGCAAACCCCAACCGATCATTGCAGAGCTCATGCTGAAAACTTGTGTGGATTTAAGGATGGTAGCCAGGTCCCTTGTTGTTCAAGGGAGTAGCAACCGTAATTTCCTCGGGTACTCAGTGTATCCATGGGGCACAGGGCAGGCCTTGTTTGTAGGAGTTGTCCGTTTCTGTCCCAAAGTCAGGTGAACCCTCCCTGCAGACTTAGGAGCGAAGCCATCCTGGGGGAGCCCAAGCCCGTGAGGTTTCTCTCCGAGGAATCCACCCTCTCCCCGATCTCCACCCTCATATCCACCCCTCCCTCCTCCCTACGTCTCCAGTGCCATCCTGTCCCAGCTCCCTGTGTTTGTGCTAGAGTTAATGTTTACCATCACCACCCCTACGTGGCTCCGGCCGTTGCTCCCTGCTGCTCCTGCTTTGCAGAAACAGACCCATCAGCCACGCTTGCACGTTTAGGAAGTCATTTCTCATCCACCTCCAGCAAAAAGTGCCATTCATTCAAGCGACCAGGCCCTCACACTGCAGTTGCATGCACCATTGTAGAGCCTGGTTTGCAGCCCGCTCTAGAGCGCGTAGGGGCAGGGGTTTCCATAAGGGAAGCCTCCCCCGTTTGTGATGGCAGATGAAGCATCTTGCTTTCTGTCATGTCGGCGCAGAGATACATCTGCATGCACGCGAACTTCTGTTTCAGAGCGTCTGCGGTGTGAGAGATTACTGACTTAAATGAAAGTTGCTTGCTTGTCTTTTCTATCAGACGGTCGCAGCCTCTGGTCATGAAATTAAGCTTGCATGCAAGCCTGGTTCCTCTGGCCCTGCAAAGTTGAGGCTTTTGGGGTGTACCTGTGCTCAGTTCTGTAGGGACTTGAATCTTTTCTCTTTTCCTACCATACCTACGTCCAGCTCCACAGGACCAGCATCGTAGCCGAACAGGAGCTGTGCTTTATGGGTTTCTTGCCTCTTTTTGCGTGTCTGCTTGCGTGGGGACAGGTAAAGAAGGTGAAGGGGCAAGGGTGGATGCCAGAGAAAGGTCCATCCGATCTTCCTGAGGCTCTCAGACCGCTCCTGGGGCAGTGTCCGAAGGAAATCTTTGTCCTACTGCATTGGGGAGTGAATAAAGCCCACAAGGCACCCTAGTTTTTCTGAGATTGGAGGCATTTGGGGTAAGAGAGCCCCAGACCAGTCCAGCTGTTCGGGTCTCACATTGCCGATTTCATCATCGCTGGGCTCAACAGGCCAGTCTCTCCTTCTCCTTTCCCCTCCCCCAAACGCGCACCGTCCAACAGTTTTCCATTACAGGAAACATCTGTTAGGAGGCAGGGCTGAGCCCGGGTTACTGTCGGGCATTGACCGACAGAATTACCCAGATACAGTAACTTAAAACATGTGCGAGTCATTTTGGTATCTCCCCACCCGCTCCTTCCATGAGAAAAATTAACAGAGACCAAAGCTGCCTTTCAGAGCAGAAAGGGGATGGGAGCAGAGTGCCTGAGGCAGGCGCTGGCGAAACAAGAGTTCCCGCTGCTCCGATAAGCAGGCTAGGTCTGCACGCCGCTTGCTGTGCAATGCAGCTCTGGAGCCAAAACTAGCCCGGTGCGGCTCTGCAAATCCTGTGGTCCTACAGATCGGGACAGGGCAAGTCATCCTTCATCCTGGGCAGCCCTGGAATTTGGGCCTGGATTTGTGAGCTCCTGCTGCCCAACAAGCTCCTGCTCTGGACTGCTCAGGCACTTTTGGGATCCCTGCAGTGACAGGTCAGCAAGAGCGAAGCGGCGAGAAGCCACAGGCGCCCAGGGAGCACTGGCTGATAAGCTTCCCCTCATGAGCCCCTTCTTCCAAGTCTCCTGGAGAGCTGCAGGGGCTGCTGGGGCAGACCAGCTGGATGTCAGACGAGAAGGGGAAGCCACGCGTCTCGCTACCAGGCTGCTGTTCTTGTGTCTTTCTGCTTTGAAGCTGAGCAGGAACAAGTGACAGTGTGAACAGGAGACGGGAAGGGTTGGAGAGTGTGAAGGGATTAAGCGAGTGCTAAGGAGGTGCAATGGATTCCTTGCTGCAATGCGGGGTGCTCTGGAGCCTTAATCTGGAGCAAGACGACCAGAGGCTGCTGCAGTACTTGGAGAGGCTGCAGGACCTGGCCCAGCAACATGTCAGCCCATGGTCAGAAGAAATTCCAGCTGTGAGTGTCTCAACTGAGCAATTTATCAGGGTAGCGGAAGTTTTTGTGCCACCTCTTCCTGTCACTTAGATCCCACGGCTGCAGAGAAGACTTGAGAGAGTCCAGTTGTCTAGTACGGGGCTTCCCAAAGCCAGACCCTAGCTCAGAGCCTCGCTGTCTGCAGGGGAGGGACGTCCCAATCCAGATCCAAAGTCAGTTCAGTCTCTACAATGGGCTGGACCCAGACGTCAGACTTGACTGTACTCCCATTATGAAATTCAGGGCCTGAACTCAGCTGGGCGCACCTCTAAATAGGACCCAGGCACAGGGGCTGGGACCGACACTTTGGTGAATGAATTCCCGGTGCACACGCCTGCCATTCTGAGTCTGGGACACTCTCAAAATGCTCTGCCTTCGAGCCTACAGGGATTAGCGAGCATGTCTCTAACGGTCTTTGCACCAGTATTAAGAAATCAGTCGTTAAACTGTGGGGTCTAAGTAGGGTGCAGCTAACCGCAGGGAGGTAGCTCCCAAAGCAAGAAAGCGGGGATGCTTTTCTGTGATTTTTCCAGTCCTAGACTTTGTGGCCAGTAATGCCCCTGCCTCCCTCTCTTTCTCCCTGCCCACCCATGCTTCCTCTAGAAAGAGATGTCTTCAGGGGTTTCATAGATTGCAAGGCTGGAAGGGACCTCAGAAGATCATCGGGTCCTGCAGGTCTGTTGGATTGACTGGAAGGTCTTTGTGTCTCTCTGATTCTGGGGACGTATATTGCCCTGCTAGGAAAGGGAGAGGAAGGAATCAGCGTCATCCTCCCTCTACTTACAGGAGACAGAGCAGAGATGCAGCTTGTCGGCATTTGCTCCCGTCTCCATACGAAGCTCCAAGCCAGCCCCACGTGCAGGGAGGGCTCGGCTCTTCCAGGGGGCCAGACTTGTGGAGCATGTGGGAGACTTTGTCTGGCTAGGATTACAAAGCTGAGGAAAGTTGTGTTAATGCTTAGTAAATAGCAGAGACAAGCCAGCTCCTGCTGTCAGTGGCAAAACTCCCAGGGATCACCCTTGCTGGGTCTAGGATTCAACACAGTAATTTCCACTTCTCTGACAAGTCAGGTTCTCTTCCTCCTCTGTTCCCACTTCCTATGCAATTTGCAAAGGGCGCCCCGAATTTTACCCCAGTGCATCAGGTTGGAAAGCAAGTCCTGGTCTCACGTGTGGTAAGCACATGTAGTCCCTGCCCTCCCTCTGCCACAATGCCCATGTCTTTCTCCTCCTGCCCCAGCCCCTGCCTCTCTCATTAACAGGCGCTCTCTTATTTGCAGGTGTTGAGCCCAACGTATAAACAGCGGAACGAAGACTTCAGGAAACTCTTCAAACAGCTTCCGGACACCGAGCGTCTCATAGTCGGTAAGGCCAGTGGGACTTCTGTCAGCCCCTTTGCTTTCTGTTGCGCTGCGCCCTGCTGTGCTGTAGGAAGATGCTCCAGGAGGACATCCAAGAGCAGATGGATCTCTGGGCAGAGATTGCCCCCAAAGAGCAAGCCCTTTAATTGCCTCTTGTGCATGCACAACCAGATCCTCAGCTGGGGCAAGTCAGCTTAATTTTGCACTCTTGGGTAGAGCGGTGCTGGTTCACACTAACTGAGAATCTGGCCTCTAAAAGCTCTGCTCTTCCTCCTGGGTTTGTCAGGTGAGGCAGGAAGCACGGCAGCTGAGCTTGTGGCTGCTAACTCTTCCCTTCCACATCACAGTCTTCATCTGCTGAAGGCATTCAATGAGAGACGGACAAAGTCTAAACGAGCAGAGTGGTGTGTGGAAAGGAGGGCGATGAGAGGAACCGAGCCGAGTCTACAGTAGGGATGTGGGGAAGTTTCAGGTGCAGGTGGCTCCAAACTGCAGAGTTCCTGCCCACCTTTGTGCTTCCCCAGACCTGGCAAGCTGCTCGGGTCTTTTCCCTGCTTGCTTTGGGTCCCACACCTCTGTGTTGCAGCATCACCCCCACTCCAGCCTCTCTGCAGGTACCTTGTGCTCCTGGTTAATAGCAGCTCCCCAGTCCCCTGCCAAACAAAATGACAGCCTTGCAGTGATTTAACCGCTGCCTTCTGCAGACCAGCCATCCACCTCATACCTCTCGGGAGTGAGGATCTGATAGCTGCTGATAATTCTTTGAAAGCAGGGAGAAGAGCTGTTTGGGATGGTTGGTGGGGCTGCGGGAGGTACGCAGACGACAGCAGTGAGTATGGAAAGGAAGAGAGAGGCGAAGATTGTGGAAGTATTTCCTGAGGCACTACCAAATGGCCAGCCAGCCAGCTGCCAGGCAACCCCCCTGTGCCAGGTGGGGAAGGATGGGTGGTCTTATTGGCAGCTTGGGAGCCTCAGTTATGTTCCTGGCTCTGCAGTGCAACCAAGGCACTTCTCCTCGTGGAGCGTCTCCCCTTATACATAGATTCACCGGTCTATTTAAATTAAAAACTCTGGAGCTGAGGGCTAATTCTAGCACGTCCATTGTGCTGCACGCTGTACAATCTCAATTTGGGCTCGTAGGGATACCATAATACAAATACCAGCAGGTTCAGGTATATGATCAGCTCTAGCATGTTTGTAGCCCTGAGTTGGTCAGTCTTCTGGAGATGGCTTGGGTATTGACTCTGGGATTTTTCAGATCCTTACTCTTCTACTGGTGCATTGCCAGACCTCGCTTGAGCTGGTACATGGCCGGGGTCTGGTTCTTGATGGTTAGTTCTGGCCTGTGTATGGTGGTGGTTTCTTGTGATTCTAGCTCTGTTGCTGATGCTCTCCTTTGCCCAGCATTACCTTGGTTGTGAGTTGTGAGGCTTACCTTGATTGCCACTTCAAGCTGCAGCTTGGTGTTGCTGGGATTACTGATTCCGGCATGTGCCTGGTTTAAGTGTACTTTCTGACTCTGCTTTGTGCCTGGGTTTAGCACAACCAGGCTCTAATGTGCCCGCCTGTCCCGGCAAGATACCTGCTGGCCTACCCTTTGCTAATCTTCTGCTCTCTATCTACAGATTACTCGTGCGCGCTTCAAAGAGACATTCTCCTGCAGGGCCGACTCTACCTCTCCGAAAACTGGATCTGCTTCTACAGCAACATCTTCCGCTGGGAAACACTGGTAAAGACCCTTTCACAGTTTTGTCAGTCTAGTGTTTTTTGGGGCTGTCTTAGGAGCATTTTGAGCTCGATTTACTCATAAATTTGTTCCTTCCTCTGCCCTCTCCTTCCTTTCACCCCCTTTCCCTTTCTTCACACCTCTTGTTTTAGCTGACTGTCCGTTTGAAGGATATCTGTTCTATGACCAAGGAAAAAACAGCACGGCTTATTCCTAATGCTATCCAAGTTTGCACTGACACTGAAAAGGTATGTCTCAGACCCCTGCGCTCCTGGCTAATGGCACCTGTGGCCTGGTGGGATGTGCGTAAGGGAAAGGGGGGGGCAATGGTATGTAATGAGTAGGGTTGAGTCCGGAGCAGGGTTAGCACACGTGGCCAGTGGGGCAGGAGATGGTCCTGACCTAAGGAGCTGATGCAAGGCCTGTAAACCCTTAGATTGCTATATCACATCCAGAGACTGCTGAGTTGCTGGTTAGCATCACTTCCTTTCACATGCTTGCTGGGGTTTAAAGGCACGATGGTGTTCCTCCATTCCCGCTCAGAAGCTCACCTCCTTTGCTTATAATGGGCTTATAATTCTCCACCCGCTCAGCCTGTGAAATGCTCAGACCGGGCTCCTCTCCCTTTTGGCTGGACTCTTCTGAAAGGATCTCTCTCTCTCTCTTTCTGTCCAGCACTTTTTCACTTCCTTTGGTGCCCGAGACAGGACGTACATGATGATGTTCAGACTCTGGCAGAACGCTCTCCTTGACAAGGTAAAGAGACTCCAGGCTTGCAGGCAGCTGGGCCCTGTTATCAGAGGGGATGGCAGTGGTTTTGCCCAGCTCAGACCCTTGCAGAAATCGACAGCGCTTGTGGTTAAACTGTATATATGAACCTGGAGAATCAGTAACTGCATGCTTGTGCAAATAAAGCACATAACTGCATGGGTCCCATTTCCCTTATGACTCACAAAATGACCTTTATGCATAGGCATATCTGCGCACAGATTACATACCCCTCTTTAAACAGCATGTTCTGCCTCTTTTACCACATCTTGGATGGAAATGAATGAGCTGCCTTGCGGTAGTTGTCATAAAGCCCTCATATCAAATGAGCTGCTCCAGAAGAAAGCAGTTCCAAGTTAGTTTTAGAGGCAGATGGGAGAGGGAGGAGACGGGGAAAGGGTATGAGTCCTGGACAGCGCAGGCACACATTGGAGCAATGAGGGGTGCAAGATGTATTGGGTAGGACTTGGATGAGTGGAACTTCAAACCCACCAGACAGATGGAGCTGATTTGCAGTCTGGAGTGTCTCTGGTTTGATTAGCAGGCCATGATGCTATAATGCACTGTGTGCTTCTGTCCTCTCGGCTGGAGTGAGGGCTCCTGGATGGAAGTGTGAGCGCTTGGAGATGTGCTCCGCGGTGCCATCGGAGCTTCAGCTCTCAGCCTACAAAGAGCATTGACTGGAGTAGCAGCAAAACGCCTTGATTTCAGGACAGGGCAGCGTGCAGAACAGTAGCCTTGTATTCAGCTTGGTGTCACCACCACATGTTGCTATTTAAACAACCTTATTGACACGCATAGCAAAAATCTGTAGCCTTTGGTTTCAAGGCTTGAAACAAACAGGAACTGAGATTTGGAGCAGTGCAGACAGGAAATACTTGAAGTGCTCTTTCCCTGAATTCAGGGTCTAGGGCTGATGAGGGGGAGGGAGGGAGAGAGAGGCCCAGCCCGGTCGCTTTGATAAGACATCTGAATTTCATAGCATGGTGGAGAAGATGAACGTTTCCCTTGGTAAACATTTCCCAGTTGAGCCTTGACATATTCTGACTATTACTTTAACACTATTAAACCCAAAGTTATCATGGCTTTTCCCGTCTCATCTCAAACAGCACCAACTGGGCAAAATCCAACCCTATCAGATCCAGAAAAGCTCACTGGATTTCCCCCTCCCACCTCCAATTACTGAGAAATCTTTGTGGTCAGTTATTTAATTTCTCGTCGGAAGCAGACCGTCCCTTTACTGTCCACAAGAAGTCAAAGTCACAAGTGCCCGGCCCCTTGCCTCAATAACTGGAAGATGCGGTCATGGTCTGATCAACTGATCTTCCCAGCTGGGCTGGGCTTTCCAGAGGAACATTCCTGGTATTTTTTTGTTTCTCCTCCAAGCTTGCGAGGCATGGGATATTTTCACAATGACACCCGGGGAATCAGCTTCTTTGGCATAACTCTCGCATTGTCTTCAATTTACAAAAATATTTCTGTCCCCTCAGGACTGGCTTTTAACATGGTTCTCAGAGGCTTTCAGTTGTGGGCAGCCTCCATTAAGAGAGCAATGTAGCCTGATGGAAGCCTGATAAAAGACCCAGAAATCTTTTATAGCGTCCATGGGAGGCACGTTAATGGGAGCAGCACTGGTAGCACGAGAGAAGAAAATGTATATGAAGGAGAGAAGCTTCCTAGAAGAGAAAACCTCTTATCAGTGCTATTTATTTAATGGCTAGTGGTGGGTGAAGCTCCAGGGTGTTGTAGTGCAGCACCTGAGATGATACCAAAGTGGGCAGGATGAAAACTGGGCTCCTAAACCAGGCTGGTCCCTGCTCAGGCTAGGAGTATGCCTGCTGCCAGGCTTCAGTCACTTAATGCCGTGTGCCAGGGTCAGTGGAGCAGTCAGTCAATCTTGCAGCAACCAGGGGTAGTTGCTAGAGAGAGGCTGACAAAAGGATGCAACCCTGAAGCAGAGGGCACTATGCCATGGGAAGCACACTGCACGAGCCCTCAGGGGAGGACACAACCCTCCCCTGACAGTGAAAGGCCTAGCTTTAAAACAGCTATCCTATGGGGCAGCAGCACTGTGAGAAGCTGCTTCACACTAGAACATTTCAAAGCCACGGAGAATGGCAAGAAGCCTCCACAGGGCCTGAGAAAGCTGTGGCTTTACTGAATGTCAGCCAGGCTTTTCCTGGGGTTGGGCACCTGTTGGTAGGCAGTGATAATTAATGCTTAGAGCAGGGGAAAGAAGTGCTGGGAGTCCTCACTTCTTTTCACAGCTGTGCTGCTTTACATGAGTCCAGCCCAGGGCATCTTGCACATTACTGAGTCATTGCTAGGGTAGCACTTTGAGGTGCGAAGTGCTGGGTAAGTGCGAAGTGAGATGAATTCGTCAGTGCGGGGGGTTCTCAGGTGAAGTGTTGCATGGTTTTATCCTGTCTTCCCCTGTAGCCCCTGTGTCCAAAGGAGCTTTGGCACTTTGTCCATCAGTGTTATGGGAATGAACTGGGGTTGACGAGTGACGATGAAGACTACGTGCCTCCTGACGATGATTTCAACACGATGGGGTGAGTGAGCAAGTGGAGGCGAAGATGCACAAACACTGACAGCTCTTATAGAACAACAGGGCTCCGGTTCATGGCACGCCTCAAAGAGCCGTGAACGTCAGTGTACAACCAAGTGTTGGGTGAGGCCAGAAGTTTTGGCTGAGCACCTAACGTTTCAAATGCACCTTGTACCCCCATGTGTGTACAGTTGTCACAGCTGTCCATGGGAACTGAACTCAGGGCCTTCAACACTGCGGGCACTGTCCCCGAGCCTTGGAGTTCAAGGACGAATGCTGTTAGCGCTTAGCAAACAGCAGGCTGTCCCTGTCAGCAGGGCTTGCCACAGCAGGGAGACAGGACAGCATATGGCAAGGCAGTGCTGGAAGACCTCTAAGCTTCCTGCAACAGGGGGCATGGACCCAAGCCATGCTGGCGTGCGCTCTTGCTGGGGACACCTCGGAAACCTTCCCGTTCCAGTATTCCCTGTGGCTGTAGGGAGGCATGGAGGGTTGTGAACACATGTCCACTGTCTGGGTTTGCAGTTACTGCGAGGAAATCCCCATAGAAGAGAATGAGGTGAATGACAGCTCCTCTAAAAGCAGCATGGAGGCCAAGCCTGATGCAAGTCCACAGCTGCCCAAGAAGTCTCTCACGTCTGGCACTGCCAGCACATTGACGTCCACGGGAAGCAGTGAAGCACCGGCCTCGGTACGTACCCCTTGCCTCTACCCCCGCCCTCTGATCGTGGCTGAGGACCAGATGGGTGCAGGCAGGTGGGAAGAAAGGCAGGCCGTGGCTCTGTGCATTGAGTGGAGAGAGGCAGGATGCAGGCACGCCAGACCGCAGAGATCGCAGGGAGCCTGCTGGGGAATACTGTTGTTCCAGTTCCTGGTTTAGTTAGGCCTGTGTGATCCTTGTACCAGTCCCTTTCCCCAGCTTCTCCAGGACAGTTCTTATATTAACCAGCCTGTAACTGGCTGCTCAGGTCGCTGACAAAATAACAGCCTTCTTATGAAGGGGGACAAGCAGGACTTGCAGGCTGCCTGGAAGTGAATGAAACAGGAAGGCACTTGTAACTATCATCATATAATAACCCTGTCTCTGATCCCAGGTTGGAGAAAACAGATTTGTGAAAGCAGATCAGGCTTTTTGTCTCCCTTTGTCAAAAGAATGTTGTTTTCCTTCCTGGCATCACTTCAGGGCAGACTTGCTTCAGTGAAGCTGAACTCTGTGTTTTCTGCATGTGTAGGGCTTGTTTGGTGGCAATTGCAACATCATTCATGGGATGGGTTTTTCTTTTAAACAGCCCTGGTGGTGTATTCACCCTGGGTTCGGACTTGCTGTACTTCTGTGCCAAAATGCCCATCCGCTTGTCTGCCCGCACATAGCGCTGAGCCATCATGGGACACGTGGCTGTCCAGAGCTCTGAAAATTGGCCCCAATATTGATATATGTAGTTTGCAAAAGGGAAAAAAACCCGCTCTCTGCAGTGGCCTCACTGCTGCCTTTCTGCCCTTGCCCTAGTTTGACGGTGTGCTGCCTGAGGAGGAGGAGGAGGCTGTGGCTGAGAGTCCCATAGAGAAGGAGCTGGCTATTGCCAACATCATAGGAGAGAAGATAGAGATCATTGCCCCCGTGAACTCCCCCTCACTGGACTTCAATGACAACGAGGACATCCCAACCGAGCTCAGCGACTCGTCAGAGACCCACGATGAAGGTGCTCAGTGAGGGCTGCTTCTGGGGTGTGTCATGCTGCCCTGTGCTATCTCTCCTTGGGGGTGCATGTGTGTGAGTGAGCAAGACAGGGCAAGGTGGGTGTGCCACACCGTCTTCCTCATTAACACCAGGATGACATGTCTAACTCAGTATTCTGGGCTGGGGAAAGCCCACTCATGGGCCAGTTGGTAGGATAATACAGTCACCACATGTGATTTGCTGCCCTTCTCCTGGGGCAGTTACTCCCCTGGAAGTATTACAAGAGAAGGACCTGGGTGCGTCTCCTCTAGGCTTTCTCCTCTTCAGCCTGGATTAAGCTGTATTCTTGGCCCTTCACAAGCGCAGTCTGGGCCTGGAGATGCTTACCACTCCCTTCTCTGCAGGGGAGGTTCAGGCCTTCTATGATGATTTGAACGGCCGGCAGTATGTGAACGACGTGTTCAGCTTCAGTGTGGACAAACTCTATGACCTGCTCTTCACTGACTCCCAGTTCCAGAGGGACTTCATGGAACAGCGTCGGTTTTCTGGTGAGACATGTCCCATCATAGCCCGTAGCACCGTACCCTATGCCCAGGGACTGATTAAGGCAGGATCTTCTGAGCACTAGCAACTAAGGTGCCTGTCGAAGGGGCACCCCCACATCCTTCTGGAGGTTCTGCAACAAAATGCATGCACTTCTCAACTGGATGATGCGCTTGCGCTGCAAAAGCGTTTGGAGAATGGGGCTGGGAGGATTGGCATGATCTGGCCAGCAGACTCTGTAAGTCTTTGGAAGCCTCAGACCCAGTTTTTAAGATGAGGCTTTTGTCTCAGGCCCAGCATGAGATACCATGTCCCCAGTAGAAAACCACTCCAGCTCCACATGCATGCAACAGAATAGCCCAGAAAGTCGTTTGCAGCCTAGGAAGAGAGGGCTTCTTGGTACACTACGGTCTTTCCTTTCACTGAAACTCCAGTGAGATTCAAAGGGTCCCCTTGCCCCTGCACTGGAAGGGGAAAAAACTCCCAGGCTCCCAAATCCAAATTCCTTCTACATGTAAAGCAATACAACAATGAGACTCTTTCTACATGTGCTCCCCCTCCCTCCGCAACTGGCAGGCTTGCAGGACTTGGAAAGGTCAGTAAAATACTCATATAATGATATGTGAATGTTAGCACTGTCTGAGTGTGCCAGCTCGACAGGCCTGGAGACGAGTGTCCTGATGTAACCCTGGGACAGGTACAACAAAGGCAGCAGTTTTCCCCAGTCCACTCCCCCCAGCACCAATGGGCCTCTGTCTGTAGAGAGACTATTGCTTGGGACATGAGAGCTGTGGTCAGTCTGCTGTGGGAGCCGCCTGCCATTCCTGTTGGGGCTGGGTATGTGGCTGCATCCCTTCTGGGAGCAGGGCGTGAGGGCTCTTCCTGCCAGTTCAGGAGTCTAACACAGTGGCCTTTCCCCTTCCAGAAATTATCTTTCATCCCTGGAAGAAGGAAGAAAATGGCAATCAGACCCGAGTGATCCTGTACACCATCACCCTCACCAACCCTCTGGCCCCAAAAACTGCCACTGTCACCGAGACTCAGGTATGAGGAAGTAGAGCAGGTGGGTGCCAGGCAAAGAGGGTCAGAGACTGACCGTCACATGCTGATCGGTGGGCCGAGCTCTCTGCCTCTCACCCTTCTTTCTCTTTGTCTTTTCTGTGGTACCATTGCCTACCTCTGTCTTCCCCTGCATGCTTCCCTTATATGTTATTTAAGCACCACTTGTTGGTTGCAAATCCTAATGGTCACAGTGCAGGCTATAACTCAGGTTAGCCCTGCAGTGGAGACAAACTTGTGCACCCTGTGTGTGCACAGTCCTGGGCCTAGGCCACGTGCTAGGCTTAGCCGCACTCAAAGCTCCTCTGCAGCAGCACAGCCATCTTCTCTGCTGACAGAGTTGCCTCCCCTCTGCTGACCAGTGGGCTGGATATGCATGCGTGCAGACCTGTGATTTTCAACTAGGGTGTTAGGGCCACAAGGTCCTTGGAAAGGTACCAGGAAGTGTGAAGAGAAAAGCAGGTAAGGGCAGGCTCAGGCTCTCCCTACTTGGCTGCTCCCCCGCCCCCACTACCCAGCTCCTCTGCAAGAAGATAAGTATTGTGATAAATAAATCAGCTTTTGAGATGGGTGCTGCTCATTGCACAAAAGTTATGTGGAGTTCAGGGAGGGTTGCCTTAAGTCTGAGGGTGCCTGGAGTCCAAAAAGGTTGAGAGCCACTGGTGTAGACACTTCTGTGCCTGCCACTAGCTCTTGCTTTCCCTTCAGCAGCTGGTGCCTTCCTTAGGTGCTCTTCTGGCCCAGCGGCTGGAGGAGCTGGGCAGAGCTCCCAAAGCTGGTGGGCATGCACAGACTCTAGCAGCCAGACAGTGGCAGCTGCTGTCTGTCTCCAGCAGTTCTTCTGGCTGACACGGGCGAGTATAGACAAGGCTTCAGGCTTGCCATAGTATCCCAAGTGCAGGCACTAGGGCAGATACCTGATAGTAGATGGCTGGACTCTCCATTCTCCCGCACCTTGCACAGCCGGCTCTCCAAGCGAGGGCGAAAGGCTGCCGAATTGGGATGTTAACAGGTTCCACTTAGTCAGCACTAGCATAGATGGTCTTGGAAGGTGCAGGACAGTGGAGAACAGGCCCCTTTTTCTTCAGAATCAGTGATGCAATGCAGAGAAGTCCCCTGACCAGCCTTCATGCTGACAAATAATTGCTGCTTGGGGTGTTCAAAACCATTAGTGGCATTCTCTGCTGGGTTTTTTCCCCTGTAAATTGTAAAGAGCTACAACTCGGTGAGAACAATTAGCACCCATCTGTATTGCAAGTCAGGTGCTGGCTTGCCTGATGCAAGGAACCAACCAAACTGCCAGAGCTCGGAGCATCATCACTGGATTTCTCATATCAAATCTGCTGTTGGAAAATACTGAGTTTAGTATATTGGGGTTTGTGAGCGTTCTGGCCAGGAAAGTTCAGCTGCTTGAGAAGGACTTAGACACCCAAGTCCCACCCATACTTTGCAGTTCTGTTTGGCATTACTGTGACCAGACTAACCCCTGTCCTTTCCTCTGTTTCATGCAGACAATGTACAAAGCCAGCCAAGAAAGCGAGTGCTATGTGATAGATGCAGAGGTGCTAACCCATGATGTCCCCTACCATGATTATTTCTACACCATTAACCGTTACACTTTGACTCGTGTCGCCAAAAACAAAAGCCGACTCAGGTATAGTACCTATGGGGCTCTGCATTTATGAATAGCGCCTCCCCTCTAATGGTCTCACAGGCTTGTATAGAAACTAAAGGCTGAAAATCCTGCCCCATGGTGTGTCAAAGGAGGGTGAAGAGACCACAAGGAGCCACTGTTTTTGCCCCTTGTGAGCAAGACCTGTCCGTAGGGCAAGTTAAACAAGGTAGCTGTCTAATGCACTGGATCATGAGCAAACAGAATAGCTGCAGCAAAGTGTGGAGCCAGGGTGGGGAGATGGCCGTAACCCAACAAACTCCCTTTTCTTTGTCACAGAATATGTGGTTGCAGCATCAGCTTCTGGGTGCTGTGAACTGAAGCAGTGGCACTGTGACACCATCTCAGGGAGCATGAGAGGGATCACAGGGGCGAGGCGGAGAATCAGACCCCTGGGCAGGGTAGGGCCAGGTGAATCCCAGAAGCCTTGGGGGTTCAGGTTTGGCTTGGAGCAGCACCGTAGCTTAAATGGGTCTTTAAAATACTGAGTTTTCTCTCTCCCGGCGGGGGGAGAGAGCCTGGCTTGCTGGTTTGGTGCCTCAGTTCCCATCCAGATCCAGGGGGGCTGAAGCTACCATAGAGTGAAAAAGGTCATGCCTGGGGGATTTAGCAAAGGTTTATGGTGTGCCATAAGGTGGGCGGTGTTTAAGGTGCCAACTCAGGTGTGACTGCACTCTTTCTTGCCTTCCCTTAGGGTTTCCACAGAGCTACGTTACAGGAAGCAGCCATGGGGGCTGGTGAAATCATTCATCGAAAAAAACTTCTGGAGTGGCCTGGAAGACTATTTCCGTCATTTAGGTGAGAGTGGCAGTGGTGCATGCTGCGGCAGGGACCCAGGGAGTGGGAGGCCCTGAAGTCCACAGGCACATTCCCTGTGCACACGTGCCCTTCTGGGAAGTCAGACTCCAGGCTTGGGATCTGGCCCTGGACCAGCGGGGATTGGATTCTGCAGCTGGATTTCATACTGGGTCAGCTGAGGTCATTATTGCCCTCTTTAGACCTGCATGTAAGATCTGTGGACAATCACATCTCCTGCTCTAGCACAAGGACAGGTGGCCAGTGCCCAGCGTTCAATCAGATGCATAACAGGCGTGCGTATGGTTTTATCACCCACTGCAGGGCCCAGCCCTGGGCCCTGCTAGAATGACCTAGAGCAGGCACTGGGCAGCAGCTGTGCCTTTGGAGGTCCCCTAGTTCATTATAAAGGTGCACTTGGATTGAGGGAGACTCAGTTATTAACCCGATTTCCCTGCAGAGAGTGAGCTGACCAAAACCGAGAGCATGTACCTGGCTGAGCTCCATCGACAATCCCCCAAAGAGAAGGTGAATAAGCAATCTACAGTGCGCCGGCGGAAACGGCCCCATGCTCACTTGCGGGTGCCACACCTGGAGGAAGTGCTGAGCCCTGTCACCACCCCCACCGACGAGGAGGTTGTACATCGAATCAAGCATGTGGCAGGTAGGGGGTTGGAGCTGGGCCTGTTGGGGTGTGGCTAGAGCCAGGTAGGGCATCAGGCCTTGGGGGATGGGGGTGCTGGTGACAGGGCCATGGAAGTGAGGGGAGGAAGGGACTCAAAGACTCCCTAGGATCATTTAACCACAGCAAACTGCCTCCCCTCAGGTTCCACTCAGACACGGCACGTCCCGGAGGAGAGTCCCAGTGGCTTCCACCTGCAGAGTGTCTCCAAACTGCTGCTCATTATCAGCTGTGTGTAAGTGCCTCCCTTTGCCCTCTCCACTTGCTCAGCATCTCTCCTCTAATCCTCCTGTCTCTGCCTTTTTTCTGCTCACCCATCCCCTCTTCTCCGACTCCCCACCCCATTCCTGATCTCCATTCCCAAGCTGGGAAGTGCCAAAAAGCCACAAAAGCAAAACGTAAATTAAATGGGCCTTTAAAAGAAAAATAGCCCTTTGTGAAAGGTTAGGTTTGGCTTTGCTCTGGCTGCAGGGTTGAGGCAGCTCTTGCTGGAGATGAGCCTATCCCAGATCCACCCCAGATACTTTATCTGCTCCAGCACTCCCTGACCTTGCTCTCAACCAGGCAGAGCCCTGCATTTTTGTACACTCCTGCCATCCCTGGGAGGTAGTTTGGCTGCTGTGTATGGGGAACAGGGCAGACTGTGTGCTGGGGAAAGGGCAGACTGGGTGGGAAGGTGGGGAAGCTATAGTCTGATGAGGGAGACCGAGGCCAGGGAAACTAATGGAGCCACTGAAAGTGTGGCCAAAGTGTGGGAGCTGGAAGGAACAATGGGAGTGTTTCTGGAGAGCCAGGAATAAGCCAGGCTTCCTTCGCTGAACCTGGGGGATTTGGTTTAGATATTTTGCAAATGAGGGTTTTTCCAAGTGCTGCAGAGACTGTCGTGTTTAATTTAGACATTCAGAACCAGCTCCAGGTAACCCAGCAGTCCCCAGGAAAGGGAAAATGTGGTGCATGTGTCCTTTAAAACATTACTGTGGGGTAATAAGAAACTTGCTAACCCGCAGCAGCAGTGCGTTCAGCACTGTGGGTATTTATTGGATGTGCTAAGCCTGTTTCCTATTTATTCTCCTCTCATCAAGTCCAGGAGTGAAACCTACTTGCAAAGGGGCACATTCCAGGGCTGCAGAGAAATCCTCTCTTGGAAAGGAATGAGGCCACTTTGGAGGAGATTTCTAAGAAATAGGCAGATAAACTGATGAAGCAGGAAGATGAAAACAGGGTTTGGAGAGACCGAAACAGGTCAGCCTACTAGCTAGTGCAAGCAAGATCAGGACTGTAGCTTCTATTCCTCACCCTGTTTGCTGGCTTCCTGACAGATGTCTTTGGTCTGTAAAACATGCATACCACTCGGTACCTGCCTCTGCAGGTCAGCTGGCCTGCTGGGCCATTCATTCGTGCTCAGTGTGGGGACTCTGGAAGAAAAGGCACATACACAAGGTTGATACATTGTGAAGGATGTAGTAAGACATTCGCAGAAAGAGAAATCTTAATGCCTAGAACTTAGCCTGATAGCCCAGCATTGGCTGAACCTGTTTGGAAACTGCAGCACCTGCCTCAGATCTTTGCCTGAGATTCAAGCAAGTTCAGTGTAACACTTTGTCTGTGCTTCCTGGTCCTAGGTGGGACATGGGCCACAATGTGTCCTGATTAACACAACTGCACCTTCTCTAGGAGCCAGAAGCTTCCTGCTGGGTGTGTCTCAGTAACTGGCACTCGGGCAGACAGCATCTGCTAGATCAGGGCCAGCTTTGGCAGGGATAGGCAGGGTTACTTTCTGTTGCCCTTCCCCAGTAACTTGCTGGTTCCCCAGTAAGGTACTAGGAGGATCAGAATCGCCGTGCTTTTTTATTGGTGCTACTGCAAGGATGAAACAGAGCGAAGAGCTTGAAAACCAAACCCACAACTAGTCCTTTGAAGCCCTTTTGTCCGCCCACAAAGGTTTGGGGCTAGTGGTAACCTCTTTAGTAGAGTTCACCATTCCTGCTGTACTGCACATGAGCCCACAGAAGGCAGCTATCAGGTCAGCGCTCTGCAGTTTGCCTTGCAAATGAAACGAAAGCCCAGAGCAGTAGCCAAGACAGAGCTGCGATGAAACATGAACACATCTTTATAGGGTTAAGTTATGAAACCCTATGTTCCCCACTGTGACTGATACAGACACGGTTAATGGAATTGTGAGGGCTTTGGGTACATTTGGAAATAAGGGCACGAGCTTATTTTTGCACAGGCTTTCCCATGCGCCTTTGGAGCTTGTTCTAGGTTTCAGCTGCATGCCAAGAGCTTAGCGCATCCGGGGCATTTTATGTCAGAGGATGTCTCCAGTAGCCTTGGGGTAGGATGCTCATTGGCAGCATGGGAGAAGCCTTTCAGATCCAGGTAGTGGGAAAGCTGGGCTTCAGTCTGATGGGAGCTGAAGCCACGTTGACCAGGAGACGTCGCTCAGAATCTGCAGGCTTTCACCTGGACAGATGTGTTGGTCATAAAGCCAACACTGTCCGTTTGGCCCTTTTAACAGAAAACAGGCAATGGGAAATAATGCTTCACATTTGCAAATTGTCTTTTTTTTTCCCCAACCCAAAATTCTCATTGGGGGAGGCAGTTACATTACCTGCCTTTATAGCAAGCCCACTGCTGTATGCATATTTGACAGCAGTGCTGATATTTCCAGTTAAACTGATCCAGTATGTCAGACAGCAGAAGGATGTTCCAGTGCCCTGTCTCCTGGGTGCTTTCTGCTGGGTCAGCCTGATACATCCAACAATTTAAGTAGAAAAGTGCAAAGTTTCAGTGTGCAACAATCCTGGTTGATAGGCTTCCAGAGAGAGCTGCCTGTTGGGGAGGACTTAGCTGCAGCCAATTGGACATCTTTCAGTGCGGCACACCAGAGATCAAAGTGTCCATGACATGGTCAGACTCCTGTGCACTGCCAGTTGCAAGCAGACAAAACCCTCTGCCAGGAAAATGGGCTGCTCCCCAGTCTCCGGAGCCATGGGGGTGTTTCCGGACAGCCCTAAACGTGTTCATTTGGAGTCTCTGCTGATGCAGCCAATAAATATGATAACTGCATGTTGCTAGCCAGAGCCTGGGTTGATGTGTTCTGCCATGGGCTTCCTCTTACACAGCATAGTGCCAACAGTGAGAGAGACTTTTGCAACTTGCTGTGTCGATTCATAACCCTAGCAGTCCCATGGTGAACTGTCCCGTGTGCTGGCAGGAGACACTTGGGAGCTACCTTCCCACTAGGGCGAAAAAAAGCATTGTCCTTGGCTCCAGGTGCATGGGCATTTATTCTCCTCTAGTTCGTCTCCTCCCTCTGCCCTTTTCTTGCCTTCTCTTGTGTATTTTATGTACCTCCCAGGACCCCATCCCCACCCACTCCCAGTTTCTTCCGTCTCTGTGCTGGTCTGTTTCTAACCTGCAGCTCCTCCATCTTTTCTCTTTCCTGCTCCCATTAGGATTTGTTTCAGGTACTGTCTCTTTTTTACCTCTTTACTCTCCTGTTTTTCACCTGCCTTTGTCAGCGTCCACTTTATCCAGTCACCGAGCTTGGTCTGTGTATTGTCCAGTCTGGGCTGTCAAGTCTCACCTGTTGATCTGTCCTTGATTGTGTCTCTCTTGAAATTCTCTCCCTGTCTCTCTCAAAGCAAAGCTCCAAGCCCCAAGCACACAGTCCTGCTTCTGACAAAACTCCCACGCATCTCAACTGATGAATAGGCTGACTGAGGCAGCAAGGCCCAGAACCCCATTTAGAAATGGGCTTGAATTGCATCATCAAGGATGTTCCCCTTTGGGGGGTCGGGAAGGGAGCAGAGTATGGGAAGCGTCCCTTTAATAGGTGCCTTTTGCTTCTCTTCTTCCCAGTTTGGTGCTGTTGGTAATTCTTAATATGATGCTGTTCTACAAACTCTGGATGTTGGAATATACCACCCAGACCCTCACTGCATGGCAAGGCCTGCGGCTACACGAAAGGTAACGTGACATCGGCTTTCTCTGTGCCCCCACTGCTCTGTTCTTACAAACGTTGCAAGCTTTTCCTGATCTCTGCAGCCTAGAGCTGCCCTGGTGCCTTCTTTCCAGCCTTATACACTATAGTGGTCAGTGGACACACTGTGGTTATAAAGGCGTTGGATGAGTGGTGCTAATGAATAGCTGCAGTTGGGGAAAGGGAGGCAAAGGTCTTAGCTCTGAGGAGGATTGTGGCATATGCAGGAGTTGAAGCCTCTGTTCCTTTCCAGGCTTTATGAATGACTGCTGTGGGCCCTCCAGTAGTCTCCTTCTGGGGTTTCATTTCCTCCTCTACTGCACTGAGTAACAGGGACCGCCCCCCTTACCTGGCTGTGGGATTGTGGAACACAATACATTTTTGCAGAAAAACATTTCAAGATAATTGAATTGAGGTTTGGGCAAATTGTTACAGAATCAGGAGTTGGAAGAGGAAGACGCAGGGATGAGGCAGAGGTTTGTGTGCCCCAAGAATGCTGGTTGTCATGCAACATAAAAAGGCATATGAAAATTGTATCCAGGACCAAAGTTTTTAAAGTATCTTGGGCACCGAGGAATGCAAATCATCTGGATTTTCCATGCGACTTGGGCTCTTAGGTGCCTAGGATGTTTTCGATAGTGAGACTAAGGGGCTTGTCCTTGCGGGACACTTGGAAAATTTAATCCATATTAACTAAGGATGTGAACTAAAGTGAGTTAGTTAAACCACATTTGGCATCCTGCATGGGCATTTTCTTACAAAATGAGTCACCTTAGCATGGCATAGCTCATTTGGAATTAAAGCCGCTTTAATTTGAATAAGCCTATACGCACAGGAACACGATGTGGTTTATCTAGCCACCCCGCCATCTCCAGCTCAACCCGAGCAACAGTAGGTGCCTTTCTGGAGCCACTTCATTTTGCATGTTGTGTGTCCCTGGCAGGTTACCCCAGTCCCAGACAGAGTGGGCCCAGTTACTAGAATCTCAGCAGAAGTATCACGACTCAGAGCTGCAGAAATGGCGTGAGATCATCAAATCCTCGGTGATGCTTCTAGACCAGGTGAGAATGACCAGGAGTATCCATTTCCTGAATACTCCCCCACTCACCCTGCTTTGTCTCCATATCTATCTATCTCCATATCTTGCTTCCTTTCCTCCATTGTTTCTTGTCTTGCTACCTCCACATTCACACTTTAGGCCTCATATCAAACAGGACCAGGGCAAGCAGTCATTTAGGGCTGCTCAGGGTAAGGCTAAGCAGACTTATATGGTAGGTTGGAGAACAGGAGCTAGGGGATCAGAGACCAGGTTCAGAAAGCTTGAACTGTTTCAGTTTGGTCCATTTAACCCTTCTCAGTCCCTCAGCAGAATAGATAAATTGGGTGCCTTGCAGATTTTCTGTGTATGACTCTTTCCATTGAGATGAGGGAGAGGGGAGCTGCTCTTTGGGAGCATTAGAAATCCCTCTGAACACTTCAAAACAGGAAGACAATGTTCTTCAGAAAAAAAGCCTCCCCAGTTTCTTTGCTGGTTGGACTCCACCACAGAGAGACGGCTGCCTGTACAGACTGTGAATTTGGAACGTGCTTTGGGATGAAAGGTGCATGGGGCTATGTGTGCGTCTTTCTGAGCCCCAGTCCCTTGCCAGCTCTCTGTGCGCTGATTCTCTGCCTATCCATTTCTCAGTCCCTGTCCTGCTGCCAACTTCCACAATATCCCAGTCCAGGTGCTTGGGTGCCAGGCAAACAAGTGCAATTAGAAACCTTAAGCAGACAGATAAGTCCTGTGGGTACACTGATAAGTAGATAAAAGCCACGAGCTGCTGTGCTTGCTTGACTTTACAGCAGTGACACATATGAGGCCTGTTTTATCTTGCAGATGAAGGATTCACTAATAAACCTTCAGAACGGCATTGGTTCCCGTGACTATGGGTCGGACCCAGAGGAAAAAAGGAAGCGCTTCCACTAACAGGCAGGAACACAGGAGGCCAGAGGATTGTGTGCAATATGTGTATATAGAATATATAAATATATATATATAAATATATATATATATATATATATACAGAATA